CTGACACCGCAGAGCGTTTACCTGCGTCCCCCTTCCCGGCTCCAACGCCGTGGGGCGTTTACCCCGCATCCCCCTCCCTGGCTCTGACACCGCAGAGCGTTTACCTGCGTCCCCCTTCCCGGCTCCAACGCCGTGGGGCGTTTACCCCGCATCCCCCTCCCTGGCTCTGACACCGCAGAGCGTTTACCTGCGTCCCCCTTCCCGGCTCCAACACTGCTGAGCATTTATCCCGCATCCCCCTTCCTGGCTCCAATGCTGTGGGGCATTTACCCCGCATCCTCCTCCCTGGCTCTGACGCCGCAGAGCGTTTACCTGCGTCCCCCTTCCCGGCTCCGATGCCATGGGGCATTTACCCTGCATCCCCCTCCCCAACTCCGACACCGCGGAGTGTTTACCCCGCATCTCCCTCCCTGGCTCCGACGCCGTGGGGCATTTACCCCGTGTCCCTCTCCCCGGCTCTGACGCCACAGAGCATTTACCCCGCATTCCCTTACCCGGCTCCAATGCCCCTCACCCCTCCTGACTGGCACATAGCCAGGCCAGACCCAGCTTGGGGTGCGGGATAAGTGAGCTCGGGAACGCCACCCATGGGATGGATTTCGAGTCCAGGTCAGTATAGCTGCAGCGAATGGGTGCATGGGTGGGGTGCGTCCCTCGGTTGTCGGGGAGGAAGTGGGTTATTTCCCTGTCTGGCTGTCTTGTTGACTCGTCCTAGTACTGACGCGTCCACTCTGCCCAGCAACACGTCAGCTCCACCTCTGCTCTCTTTCCACCCGACCTGCTTGTGGGCAGGCGTCCCGCCCCGTGTCTTTGGGCTTTGGTCACACACGTTAGGAAGGAGATGAGAGTGTCAAAGATCAAACCCAAAAGGCTCTTGTGGGCTAACACACAGGCCTAGATATTAACAGGGGGCCGGGAGGAAAGGGGCAGGTGGGAGACTCCCAGAGCAGAGGCTCTGACAGCTGCGGGACAGAGAGCACGAGACGGGGTCTGGTGTGGCTCTGTGGTGTAACCCGGGAGTGGCCGGCCACAGCCCCAGCCCAGTACAGCTGGGGGGGGGAGTTATGCGCTGGAGGGGCGGGGCAGACCAGGGGTGGCGGTGAGAGGCACCCCAGAGGAGAGAACCATGAGGACACAGCCTGTCCGTCGGTCCAGACGGTACCTGGGGAACATCACCCTGCTTCCCGGGGTGTTCTCCCTCCTATCTCAGCGGGTTCAGACTGTCTGCCTTCTTAGCCCACTGATCTCCTTTGACACGCCCTGTTTACAGCCTGATTTCCTTCCCTAATTCTATCTTCCAAAAACGAGTGTCCCTCCCCGACCCCGCTCACCTCAGGCCAGGCCTCAGCCATGGCCCACACGGAGAAGTCGCCTGCTACCACCCGGTGGGACCCAGCGCCTCTTTCGGGGAGAGGGAGGGTCCCAGAAGAGCCTGAGCTGCCCGGGGCTCGGGAGGCAGCGTGGATTGTCCTGGGGGGCCCCCAGATGGAGCAAGCCATTACCCAGCCCTTACCTACGCCATCCAGGCTGGCCATGGGGTAAGCTTCTCGACCCCGGATGTCCCCCAGCCATACCACAGTGTAACGCCGTCAGCCTCACTGGGGCCGATGCCCTCCCGGAGTGTCGCAGCCCATGCTCACCACTGCCTGGGGGGCGACGAGCAGCCCTCGGTGGGGGGTCTCCAGGAGCCCCCTCTCGGCAGCCGAAAGCTGAATGGGACATCGACTGGAGTCTGCCAAGCCAGTGACCACACCCCAACCGGGGGTCTCCAGCGGGGCAGGACTGGCTGGACAAACCCCGTGGGCCCAGGATCGGAAGCCGGTGGAGTGGGTGGGGCTGGGTCCCTCCTCCTGGCCACCCTGCTCCTCTGTGAGCACAGAGCCTCCCGGAGGGATCAGAGAACTCAAGAGGGATTAAGGCCCATCCCACACAACATCCCTCCAGGATGACAAGGCCGGCAGAAACTGAGAGGCCACCAGCTAGCCACGAGGCCAGCTGGTCGTCGGGCTGTCCCGCTAGAGCGTCATGCGAGGCGTTAGCAGAGCTACCCAATGCACTGGCCTCACCGCCGTCCAACCCTCCCCTGGGCACGAGGCCCGCAGACGCGTCGGTGGTAAAACCGAACTCCCGTTTATTTAACCGACCCTGAGCTAGAGACTGAAATTCAAGGCAAGTAAAAGGGTTTGGAAACACATGGTTACCGGTCAAAGAGAAACACTAGCACCTGCTGTGACATTGCGCTCCATATGACTTTATGAAAATATGCTAATGAGTGTGACTATAATGTAACTGGGATATGCTTCATGCGAAAGGTCTCTTGTAAGGTATCATTACAAAGCTTATCATCTACTGAGTGTGATCATCCTATTTCTATGAATGTATCATTCTTGTCTCTGAAACTAGAATATGAAATACAACTCGGAGTTCCTATTGTAATTATGCAAAGTGGGGGCCATTAATGGCGGTTTGGAATCTTGATGGCTCCCATCGACCAGGACAAGTGGTTGTAAATGGCTCTGTTTTCTTACAAGCCTTCCTGTGAGTCAGGCCAGGAAGAATGGAGGCTTGGGGGTCTCACAGGCCAAGTGACCATGTCACCTGAGACTGGAATCCATCTTAAACCTGGAGCTTTTCCATTTAGAAGGAGGGGTGGGGACTCAGAGAGGCAAAGGATTCCCGCCTTGGGCCAAAGCTTTATATAAGGGGGTGGAACAGGACAAAGGGGGGCCAGTCATGAGAAATCCCCTAGTTACCACCCAAGCTGGAACTAACAAGGGCTGCACCAGGGGAAAGGATTGGGTCCAGACTAGGAAGGAGTCCAGTCTGTGAAAGAAGCTTATTGGAACATCTCTGCGGGTGAGATTTACCTGTATTCAGTTTCTTAATGTATTAGGCTCAGACTTGCGTGTTTTGTTTTATTTTGCTTGGTAACTTACTTTGTTCTGGCTATTATTACTTGGAACCACTTAGGACTACTTTTATACTTAATAAAATCACTTTTGTTTATTAATTAACCCAGAGTAAGTGATTAATACCTGGGAGAGCAAACAGTTGTCAATATCTCTCTATCAGTGTTATAGAGCAGCGGTCTCCAAAGTGGGGTACTTCAGCAGTTCGGGCGGGAGTCCGAGGTTTTGGGATTTTTTTGCTGCGGCGCAGGGAGTGCGTGCTCAAAACATTTTTACTGATAGGGGCGCGCGATCAAAGAAGTTTGGAGACCACTGTTATAGAGTGTGGACAATTTATGAGTTTACCCTCTATAAGCTTTATACAGAGTTAAATGGATTTATTTGGGGTTTAGACCCCATTGGGAACTGGGTGTCTGGGTGCTGGAGACAGAAGGACTTTCTAAGCTGTTTTCAGTTAAGTCTGTAGCTTTGGGGGCATGGTTCAGACCCCGTATTGCAGCAGGCTAGCGTATGTGCATCAACAAGGCAGGGTTCTGAAGTCCCAAGCTGACAGGGAAAACAAGCTCAGCGCGTCAGGTGACAGTCCCAAGGAGGTTTCTGTGACCTCTGAAGAAGTCGGTTTTTTACCCACGAAAGCTTATGCCCAAATAAATCTGTTAGTCTTTAAAATGCCACCGGTCTCCTCATTGTTTTTGTGGATACAGACTAACACAGCTACCCCTCTGATACATGGATTAACATAAGCAATTGCCTGTTTTCCACCATTTGCAGGTGATCTGCTGTATCCTTCGAAGAGAGGTCAATACAGTGATATCACTATATTTACATTCATTTAAATGTTAAGATCTCCTTTCGATCTCTGAATTAGCAGAATGCAGCATAGACAGGAACCATTTGGTTACATTGTCAACCTCTAA